AAAGGACACATATGTAATACCCTTTGTAATACTTTTAGCAATAAAAAAAAATCAAGTGAATAAATAATCTGGTGAACAGTATGAACTGGTGATTATAACAGAATCAGGGACATAGAAAGGGAATGGACTGACTATTCTTGGGGGGGAAAGGGGTGTGGGGGGTGCGGGAAGATACTGGACAATAATCGTGCACCTATGGATGAGGACAGTGGGTGGGGAGTGAGGGCGGAGGGAGGGGTGGGAACTGGGTGAAGGGGAGTTATGGTGGGGAAAAGAGGAACCAATGTAATAATCTGAACAATAAAGATTTAATTTTAAAAAATGTGCGCACACCAGCCCTCTGCAAAGAGGGGTTGCTGGCAGCACAGCTCCACAAAGTCCTTTAGGCCTCCTGTCTCTGAGACGGCTCAGTCACAAGCTGCCTGAGGGTTAGGATGATTCACGCAGGACTAGATGTTTGAAGAGGAAGTTACGGACGGGGGATGGTCCTCCCCTCGGATGCTTCGGTATTTAGCCACGTCTTCTGGAAAGACTTCAGAAAGCCCTTGAATCAACAGGCCTTTAAATTTCTTCATCGTATCCATCTTCCCTTTAACTTGCTCATTTTTCGCCAGAGCTCTTTCCAGGCACTCTTTGGTATAGAGTTGTGGGTTCCGACCTTGATCTATATATTCGAAAACTTCCAAAGGTACAGTAATGTCATGAAGCTGCTGTCTGCACTTATCAATATCCTGTAAGCCGGTCACGATCAAATTCAGTTTCTGGTTGAGCCCGGCCTGGCTGCTGGGCTGGAAGTCACTGGCGATGATGCTGAGCTGCCGGATGTTCTCCACGAATTTCTCCAGATGCTCCTCCAGGTGGTCCAACTTCCCTGACATGGCCCTACGGCCCCCTGCAACTCCACTCGCGTCTTCCTGCTCCCAACCGAGCCCACCACCACTTCTGTTTCCTCTAGGGGCGGGAGGAGGGGGCTGGATCTGGATCCCAGAGCGCCTCATCATGGCTGGATTCCAGGAGCACATAGCTCAAGAGAAGCAGGCAGAAGCTGTACTGCCTTTTATGGCGATGTTGGGGTCCAACCCCAGCAGGTCCAGGGGTCCCCAAAGGTGTGGACAGAGTCGGCGAAGAAGGAATGACACGGATACAGCATTCAGTTGATCAGCAGCCTAGCCAGGATCTCCAGCCAAGTTCTGGGTGTTATTGTCTTGTTACATCTGTATTTATACCAGTTGATTTTAATCCTATCAATTTCTATTCCAAAGGTTAGGGCGTTTCTTATCTCCATTCCAGGGAGTAAAGATTATGTAGCTTAAGGGTGATTGTTCGTAGTTAAAGTGATTAACTACCCGCCTGGCATTTAGTTAAGGGGTTTTATTCCCTCCCTAACTTCAGGGAAAAATCCCTACCTGGGGAAACAACCTTTCTCGGAGAGGTGACCTTGGTTAAAACACATAGCGCCAGGAAGGGGAGCAAACATATTAAGAACAGTATGCCATATACGCCAGGTCCCTTGAAACATGTGCTGTGCAGATGTTTCTTCCCTGCAGCGACTGTGTCAGGCAGTAAGATGGACCGGCTTCCGGCATGGCCTAGCCTTAGAAGTCCTATCAGGTCACTTCTACCAGAGCCTTGGTACATTTAGATTTCCGGAGAGGGAACCTAAACCCAACCTGCCCATGGGAGAAGCAAATTACATTGTTGGAAGAACAGGTAAGATGGAAAATCTTATTGAAGCCATTTTCAGATAATACAACCTGTCACACTTCATATTGCAAAGAATAACAATGATCTACCGGCCTTTTCCTAGGACTGCACAAATGGTTAAACATCTTCAAATCTTTTCTATAACTAAGTCCATGAAAGAGTTTGGAAGAAAAATACCCCCAGTAGATTTAAAAAGTAGACATTTGATAAATTCATGATTAATTAAAAAAAGAAACCTCTGAGAAAATTAAGAATAGAAAGAAACGTCCTGAATCTAATAAAGGATAAATAGTAAACTCTTGCAGAAGGCAGCGGACTTAATGATGAAACTGTCACCCCAACTATTCAGTATTACTTTACACTGGAGTTCCAGTCAGCTTAGAGACAGTCATGGAAGTAAGTAGCACGTGGCCATTCCTTATGTCCTTGCTATTGTCTGCCCTTATTTTGACATTGAATCTCTTGAATTGTCATTAAAATTTATTTTTCATACCTAAGCTTCCCCATTATATTTTAGACATTTTGAGGACAGGAATCTAAATTTACATATTCCTCAGAGTCCCAAGTATATGCCAACTAGCTCAATATGCAGGAACATCCCCAGCAGGGGGTGTGCAGGAGGCAGCTGATTGATGTTTCTCTCTCATCGATGTTTCTAACTCTATCCCTCTCCCTTCCTCTCTGTAAAAAATCAATAAAAAATATTTTTTAAAAAAGAAAAGAAAAACATAAAAATAAAAATCAATAAAACATATTAAAAAGAAATAAAAATGAAAGAAATAAAAGAAACTGCTGAATTCTGTCATTGACATAAGAAACATCGAAACCTGTAGAGAATTGTCATGAGTTTCTTTGAGCAAAACTGATGACATGTTGGGGAGCAAGATTTCACATGCTCCGGAGAATGGCAGTGTTGCAGCTTATTTTATACATTAAAATCAAAGGTCGAGTGATAAGGAAGGTGCATGAAGTCCATTGGTGATAGATTAAGGGTGCAGGAGAAAGCAGAGGTGGGGGTGGAATCAGCTAGGATTGGATAAATGTCAAAATAGAGAACCAATACATATTTTACATTGGTGGGTAAAGGATAGTCAACATTTCATATTTATAGCACACAGAGATGGTATGCGGCAAGGAGGGGTCTGCGGTCTCCTGCCTGGTGGTCCTGGCCTCTGGTGTGGCGGTTGTGCCTTCGAGAGGAAGGAAAAGAAAATTACTCTGACATTTCAAAGGTACCAGGTGTACCGGTTAATAATGGCGGATTTTGTAATCAAAGAAAACACGATAATTTCAAGAGAAAGCGCTTTATTCAAAATAATGTCCATCGCTAGCTACACATTTCCCCCATCTTTCAGGTAATTTGTGGATACTGTCCCAATAGAACTTCTCTTGTTTTGAGGCAAACCATTCAAAGACCAAATTTTCCACTTCTTCCTATGTTTTGAAGTGCTGCTCAGAAAGTGCGTGGGCCATCGATCGGAACTAGTGGTCATCTGAAGGAGCAACGTCGGATGAATATACTTCCCAGGCAAGATCTTTTAACGTGTCTTTAACTGGTTTGGAAGTGTGTGATGGTGCGTCATCAAGAAGCAAAATTACTTTGCCGTGTCTTCTGGCACATTTTGGTCATTTCACAATCAAAGCGTGGTTCAAATTGATTATTTGTTGCCGGTATCGATCAGTACTAACGATTTCACCTGGTTTTAGAAACTCATAATACACCACACCTTCCTGATCCCACCAAACGCAGAGCATTGTCTTCTTTCCGAAGCGATTTGGCCTTGCAGTTGATGTTGATGGTTGACCTGAATCAACCCATGATTTTGTGCATTTGGGATTCTCACAATGAATCCACTTCTCATCGCCAGTCACAATTCGATGCAAAAAAGACTTTCTTTCGTGCCATTGAAGCAACATTTTACTGATGACTTTTCAGTTTTCCATTTGTCTTTCCTTCAGTTGATGTGGCACCCATTTTCCTTCCTTTAAAATCTTTCCCATTGCTTGTAAACGATCAGAAATTGTTTGCTGAGCAACGTTTAATCTTTCTGCAAGTTGTTTTTGAGTTTGACAC